CTTTTGTTAGGAAAATATAACTTCACAACACCTTGTGAATTGCCCAAATATATGTATCGAATTTAAAGTTCCTTTTAATCAACCCAGCGTTGAAATTTTTGAAGCCAACGAAGTTTGCATTGGAGAAGAAACACAAATGTCTAAAGTTGCACAGAATATTAGAAACCAAATAAAACATTCACTTGTCAATTAAAACATACTTGAATTCATTCTCGTCATATATGTAGTACTTCTATAAATATATATATATTATATATGTTATTATTAATTATTATTATTATATATATATATTATTATATATATTAAATTAATCGTTTAACTTCAGGTAACGCGTAAATTAATCTCTAGTTAAACTAAATAAGACCCAAAAAACACCTTTACTCCATATACACGTATATATATATATATATATATATATAATGTCCTGACTATTTTGTTTGATGTTTAAGCATTTCTAATTTCGTTCTTTTTATCTCTAAATCTAGTTTTTGCGCCTCCATTTGCTGTTTGTACTTAGTTTCTTTCAGTTGTAAAAGGCGCTCATGTATCTCTAGCAATCTGTCAAGCTTAGCTTCCACGTTACTTCTACCCTCATTTGAAACTTTAAGATTCTGTTCCAACAGAACTAGCTTGGGGTCAGTTGCTGTTGCTTGTCTCTTCTTCTTTGGCACTTCAACATAAATATTTTCGTTCTCCGAATCATCGGCCGGGAAAATTATACACTTTTCACTGATACTGTCCACCATGCTTTCATCGAGTTCTTTCTCCAAATTTTTTGGAGAACTTTACTCCACGAGCTGCATTGACGAAGAACTTCCGAAAGTGACCACGTTCGCCATGCCTTCTACTGTCAAGCTCGGAACACTTTGACGACTGCAACTTCACGACGTAACCTTGAAGCCAGCTTCTTAAACATTTTGAAGACCTCAGCGACATAGCAAACAGCTGATTTTAAAGTTTGACATTTTGGTATATTTATTTCACAAATTGTGTATTTTTATTTAAGTAAATAAGAAAAACATGAACCATCAAGAATATGTGATTAATTTTGCGACAATTTAATTTTGCAGCACTACATCTACTCATTGTCGCCGGCAAAATTAGAAATAGATTTAATTTGGCGACGTCGACAATTGCAGTCCTGCAGCCAAGATGTCGTGCTGTCGTCAAAATAATTGTGTCCGTAAGAACGTGTGTATTTAAAATTTGACAGATGCTGCTTGTCGCTTGCTGTCGTCAAAGTGTTCCGAGCTTCACTTCTAAGCCGCTTGCCTGAATAATATTTTCTTCCGCCTCCGTGATGTACTTCTCCTCGAATGGCCCTCCACCTGTTCGACTTTTTGAGGACTTGTTGAACGATAGTTCAACACCTACAATATATTTATATGAAATTCGTATTTTAAATAGATGGATAAATCATTCAAACAAACTTTTTTCCACGTTTTGGCGTCCTTAACAGGTGGTCCCACAGCATTCAATTTTCTAGAAAGGTCCTCCCAAAGCCTTATACTCGTTGCCTTGCCTTGTGCGCAGTTCGGTATCATGTTCTTCGCCAATTTTGGATGTTCCTTCATGAATTCGCCCAAAATATTTTTTTGATTTTGATTAAGCTTGTTAAAGGTCGTCCTAAGATATTTATGAATTAGTTAAAATTGCCATTTGGCTTAATTTTATTGCAATTCACTTACATTTTTTCCTTTTTGCGTCTTTTATTAGCTCGTACGAACAGCGTCAGGCAATCGAATGACGTTTACGTCATATTGTGTACGCTCACTGGAAATGTAATACCGAATTACGACACGTATCATACGTTGACGGGTGTTGTAATACCGAATACACACTTTTACGTGACGAGTAAGCCGTTAACGGAACACATAATTCGACCCCAGATCCGTATCTATTACGGTCAATTCTCACGCAGAAGATATTGTGCAAAAAACCCTACTGAAAAGGAAAAAATAAGTTTTAAACCAAAAATTCATTACAAAAACTTGAATTGTTTTAACCATAACCGAACATATGTTTGTGTATATATTCATTTGCCGGTGGTGTCAATTAAAATTTCTTCACTTAATTAGGAAACAAAACAAACAGAGTTGATCAAAAATTGATCCAGATTTCTATCAGCATCACATCGATGTTGAATTTGCGTAACTTTTCTTTATCCAAATAATGTAAAATAATCTGCCTTATCCAGAGTTTCACCTGAAAAAACTTCACCCGAAAATTTTTCATCCGCCCATAGTAAAACCATGGAAACCAGGAGTAAAAAGTGAACCGGTTCGAGGAAAATGAAACTCGTGATAAGGCTGAATAAATGAAATCTCGGTCGGCGATCACTGAAACGCAGCTAGCGACTATATTCGCGAAAAAGCAATGTTGCCACTTTTTCTCAATCAGCCCTATTCTGCATTTCGACTCGAATCGAAATTTTCTCCGTTTGGCAACTTTGGTATTCTGCGTTCCGTTTCCTTTCGATCAATCTTCGAAATTTACGATTATACCTATTCTACATTTCGATCGTAGTTCCGGTTTTTTAAGTTGCAAATTTGTTGACAGAGAACGTTTCAATTGTTATTTTCGTGGGTTTAAATAATAAAATTTTATAAAAAATTTAAGTGAAATATACTATGCATGAATCATAAATGAATTTTCGCGATTTCTGTGTTTTCGCGAGCGGTAATACGGGCAATACGAAAAATTGGCTCAAATAATGGCAACCAAAAGTATATTGCGCGACGTTTTCAAAGTGGAAGTCCAGGCGTTTTTGTTTACATTATCTATAAATAAGACTGTGAAATGCACTGAATACAATTTATTCTTTTTATATAAAATTAATTAATTAATTAATTAATTACAATTTCGTCACATTTTATAGTTAAAACGCTCATATTTATTGAATCTTATTGCAACTATGTTAATAATTTCGACTGATTTTATGCCAAAGTGTCTTTTATGCAATTTTAATGCAAATATTAACTTTTCCACTAATTTTTCCCCATAAATTGTAAACAAGCAATGCGTGCACAACGATTAGCAAACGACAGTGCCGTACTTATCCGTTTCTGCATCTTCTACGATTTGCCGATAAC